TGCATCGCCGCGCTCGCGATGCGCAGGCGACCCCTCTCCTCGGCCATTGCCCCCGGGGGTCGCCCCTGGACAAGATGTCGAGGAAGAGAGGGCCAGGAGGCCTGATAATCGTTCACGTAACGCGCTCGCACTGGAAGGCCTTCTGCGGGGCGTTGGCGCGGAAGGGCCCTCGGGCAAAAGAGCCTCGGTGGCCAGCCATGTTTCACGGCTTCCCCCCCGCAGACGTCGCGAGGGGGCCATGGCCGTGCAGTTGATGATGAGTTGGCGTCTTCGCAGGCTCGGGCGCTACCGCAGATGTCTCGGCGCGCTTGCAAGCTATGCGCCATCTGTTCAAGCCGGAGGACGTAGGGCTGCTTTTTCACCGAGCCGCTCATTTTAAGGTGAAGTTGGACACGGACGAGTGAGATTTGCATTTCCGCCCAGGGGGCGGGGGTCTCGTGGGCACGTGCGAGGAGCCAGTCATCTTTGCCCGAGTGTTCCAAGATGTCACGACTGCATGGAAATGCGCACGCGGGGGCTCCGACCCGAAACTTTGCCTACACTGTAGCATATTTGGGAAGGGGTCTTGGAAGGTGGGGCGACGGTCTACGCGGATGACATATTCGATAAGCTCTCGGTGCCTAGCGGTACTTTTTCGGAGGCCGTGATGTTGATTAGGGGGGGGGCGACGCCCTCGTGACTCCGGCCCTCGCGAAGTGCGGTTTCTCCCGGAATACTGGCAAGCGCGAGCTAGTTCCGGTGTTGAAAAACTTGAGTGAGTCGAAGGTTTTGTCCCGACGTACAGAGCATGGTCGCGTCGTTCCCCACGCGCGCTATCTGGGGGGGGGGGGGGGGGCGGCTTTCGTGGAATATTTCACAAAAAGCGGAAGTTGATGCGCGGGGACGGGCAAGGATAACAGGGTGGTTGCAAATGGGGAGTTTTTGGCATTCCCGGGCTTCTCTCAAGCTGAAGCGACATTTTTTTCATGTCTGAGGTAGTGGGCGCCGGTCTGACGGGGCTCGAAGCCTATCAGCTCAGTCTCGCAGAGTACCAGATCCTCGCATTAGCCTGACGAGGGGCCCAACCATATGCAGGTGTGAGTACCGCAGTAGTGATTCACTTTTTCGGTGGTGATCCCTACGAGGCAACGAACCGTGCTAGGGGTGTGCCGACATGAGTGGCGTGGTACACAACGCGAACGAAAACGATTGATCTGAGTACGTAGGGAGACTGAGCGCGGGTGAATCTGCGCGCGCGCCTGGCTGTGAATGAATCTGCGTGCGAGCGAGTCTACGTGCATGAATGCGAATATGGCAAAGCGCGGTGCAAGTGTGCATGACTGTCAATAGTTTGGCAATGACTGCCTCTGAGTACTCGCGACGCTGGGCGCGGCCGCCGCAAGGAGCTTCCCCGGGGCTCCCCGACGGCATCGCCCGCGCGCCGCGACGCCAATGTCGGCGCGCCCCCCCGCGAGGATCGCGCCCGCTTCTCCCCCTTCCTCTACACCCTCTTTGCCCGCGCACTCAAAAGTCCAAGGCTGCGGGCGCAGCGCAGCGCGGAGTCCCCGCGACGCGCGCAGGTCGCCCCGGAGGGGTCCCAGCGACGCGCGCGGGTCGTCCACTGCGCGGAGCAAAGAGAGCTAGCTGGCTGGCTGATAGCGGGCAAGGCTCTTGCCGCTGGGCAGAGCGACGACGGGCGAGCGTGGCGCTGGGCAGAACGCAGCACGGAGCCCCCGCGACGCGCTCAGGTCGCCCCGGAGGGGTCCCAGCGACGCGCGCGGGGGGCACGAAACGTGCGAAGGGTGTACCGACATGGGTGTGCGGGACGCGTGCGGGCACACCCACTGGGACCTTCGGTGGAGCTCCCTATGGGGCCGCGAAGCGTGCGAGGGGTGGGCCGAAATGGGTGCGCGGGACGCATGCGGGCACACCCACTGAGACCTTCGGTGGAGCCCTATGGGGCCACGAAACGTGCGAGCGGTGTGCCGAAATGGGTGTGCGGGACGCATGCGGCCACACCCGCTGGGACCTTCGGTGGGGCTCCCTATGGGGCCACGAAACGTGTGAAGGATGTGAAGGATGTGAAGGATGTGCCAAAATGGGTGCGCGGGGCGCATGCGGGCACACCCGCTGGGACCTTCGGTGGAGCTCCCTATGGGGCCACGAAACGTGCGAGGGGTGGGCCGAAACGTGCGCGCGGGGCGCATGCGGGCACACCCGCTGGGACCTTCGGTGGAGACCCCTTATGGGGCCACGAAACGTGTGAGGGGTGCGCCGAAATGGGTGTGCGGGACGCATGCGGGACGCATGCGGGCGCGCCCACGGGCCTTCGGTGGGGCTCCCTATGGGGCCACGAAGCGTGCGAAGGGTGTGCCGAAATGGGTGCGCGGGGCGCATGCGGGCACACCCGCTGGGATCTTCGGTGGAGCTCCCTATGGGGCCAGGAAGCGTGTGAGGGGTGGGCCAAAATGGGTGTGCGGGACGCATGCGGGCGCGCCCGCTGAGACCTTCGGTGGAGCTCCCTATGGGGCCGCGGAGCGTGCGAGGGGTGTGCCGAAATTGGTGTGCGGGACGCATGCGGGCACGCCCACTGGGACCTTCGGTGGAGCTCCCTATGGGGCCGCGAAACGTGTGAAGGGTGGGCCGAAATGGGTGTGCGGAGCGCATGCGGGCGCACCCGCTGGGACCTTCGGTGGGGCCCCCTATGGGGCCACGAAACGTGCGAGTGCCGAAATGTGTGTGCGGGTCGCATGCGGGCACGCCCGCTGGGACCTTCGGTGGGGCCCCCTATGGGGCCACGAAGCGTGTGGGGGGTGTGCCGAAATGAGTGTGCGCCACGCATGCGGGCGCGCCCGCTGGGACCTCCGGTGGAGCTCCCTATGGGGCCACGAAACGTGTGAGGGGCGTGCCGAAATAGGCGACGACGATGACGATGGTGAGGGAGGAGGAGGAGGAGGAGGAGGAGGAGGAGGAGGAGGAGAGGAGGAGAAGAGGAGAGGAGACGCGGGCCACCGTCTCTTCAAAACGAGGACCCAACGCCACAGGATGGTTTGGAAAAAAAAACAATGTTCCTATCTGAGAGCACTGATCAAGGCCAAAGCCTCGGGTAAGACGGACGACGGGCAGTGCAGGGCGACGTCGAACGGGGCAGTTCGAAAGCACTGGAGTTTGATCCCGATCCAGCTTGAGGTACCCCTTCGTCGCATACGGTGGCTGCAGGCAATGGTCCGCCAGCCGCTAGTCCACGCCCAGGTGATCGCTGCCGCGCGGGGGCAATTATCGGGAGAGGCTCCATCGATCGACTTGCGTGGACATTCGACGTGTTCAGCGTCTCCGCTGGCGGCTCAGTTCGACGAGGGCGTTTGGTTGTTTCCGGGGCCGTCGGCGGCGGAGTCGTTCTTTGAGGCCTGGGAGTCTCACGATTATTCTTGGCATGTCCTGTTTAAGGATCCCGGCGTTAGCGACCTTTTCGGACGGATCGATGCGGCGGTCTCGCGGCAAGCGATCTTGTTGGGGAGGGAGTCAGACTTTATGCCCGAGCTCGTGAGTACGGCGGTCGGGGCGACAGAGAGCTTCCGATGCGAACTATCCGGGGGGGGGGGGGGGGCGGTACTGCGTGCGGGAGGGGATTTCATAGCAAACGTGCATTGCTCTGCCATCAAGTCCGCGCATATCTCCCCGGGCATGGTGCAAAACACCCTCCATGTGCATGCGTGGTGAGTAATGTGTGCCCATGGTGTCGATCGACATTCGCGTCTATTGCGAGCGCGCGGACGCGCGTTTGGGGTGCTTATCGGACGGGGCGGTGCCAGCTCCAGGGCGCCGCTCCTCTGTGGCCGGCGTCTGAGCCGAAGTCGCTCGCCTGCGCGATGTGCGAGTATCAGGGGGAGACGCTGGAACAACTCTACGATCGCCACGTCTCTCAGCATCTTCCTCAACCGCCGCCGGTTTTGGCTCGACCACGCGCCAGGCTTGCGCGCGTTCCCCGCTCTCGTCTGCGAGGCCCGCTACCAGCTCCGATTCCTGTCCGCGATGCCAGCTCTTCTGGGGTCGACTGGCGGCGCCGCGGGCGGCCGCCCCAGCGGCGGCGGATTGAGGGGGGCCCGGGCGGAGGGCGCGCCCGTCGAGAAGTCGGACTTCGGCCTCCAGGGCGGCCAGGGGGCGCTCGTGATCATGATGCTGAAAATGCTCCTCAACTTGCGTCAGCGCAAGCGCAGCATCGAGGGCGCGCTGTTCGACGCGGTGGTCGCGCCAGCGGACGCGCCGAAGATCCGCTCGATGTCCGAGCAGGGCGTGAACTGCAACGCGCAAGTGGAAGCGGCGGGGAAGGGCCACAAATTGGGCCCCCCGCGCGTGTACATATGGATGGGCCTGGCGCAGGCGCTGATCGACCGGGGGGCCGCGGTCGGCCAGGAGACGTTGGGCGAGCTCCAGCAGCGCAAGGCGACGTGGGGCGGGGTGAGCGCCGAGGAGATGGCCGAGGCGGTGAGGTTCTGCAGGCAGGACAAGATGCGCGACCCGAAGCGCAAGCGCATCGCGTTCTCGCTGACCGACCTGGGGGCGCGGCAGCCCGTCATCGCAGCCGTGCACCAGGTGGGCGAGGTCAAGGCCGGCCGCGCTCCTCCGGGCTACATGGAGCGCGAGGCGCAGGAGTGGCTCGAGAAGTTCCTCGAGCAGTGATCGAGTGCCTTCGACGGCGAGGGATCGGCCGTGAGCATCCTGCCCTTGAGGCCCTGCGCGGGGGCGCCCGCGCCCTGCCTCTGGCACGCGATGCGCCTTGGCCGCCATTCCGCTCAGCGTGCGATTGTTGCGGGGGCGCTACTTATGCGGCCGCTTGTGCCCTTCCCCCCC